CCGAAAGTTGGTGTTTCTTTAGAATTGTATCTATGAACCATATTGAATCTGTTAAAGGTTAATTAATATTTTTAAAAAATCCTTAGAAAACATCGGAGGGCATTGTGGCACAGCAGGTTAAGCTTCCACCTGCAATGTTGTTGGCATTCCATATGAGTGCTGGTTTTTGTCCTGGTTGCTCCACTTCTGATCCAGCTCTCTGCTGATGGCCTGGAAAAAGCAACAGAAGATGACCCAAGTGTTTGGGCCCCTGTCATCCATGTGGGAGACCCAGATGAAGCTCCTGGCTCCTGGCTTGTTCCTGGCCCAGTCCCAATTGTTGTGGCCATTTGGGGGATGAACCAGTGGATGGAAGATCTCTCTCTGTCTCTCCCTGTGGGGAGCAAACCGGACTAGACTGAGTTACTGGAATTAAGACTTATTCTATGCATCTGCTCTCCCACAATATGGCGCTGGGAGAGAAGTAAACAGCTTCCGCACAGCTGCCTCCAGTTCAACCAATAAACTGTAGGACTTGCTCCTGATTGGAGAGCAGCGTACTCGGCGTGTGGGCAGCCGAGTTAGGATTGGCGGAGGAGGACTATAAAGGAGGAGAGAGACGGCATGCACCAGGAACATCTAACAGGAACATCTGAGGGAACACCTGTGCAGCCCCCGAGAGAGCCGGCCGGCGGTGTGCCGCTCCCCTGCGGAAGTGGGGAATGTGGCCAGGGGGAACTGCCCTTCCACGGAGGTGGAAGGGATAGTGGCCAACCCGGGAAGAACCAGCAGCAAACCCGGGGAGGGCCGAGCAGACGAAAGAACAGCGCAGGGTCCTGTGTCGTTCCTCCACGAAGAGGGGGAGCGACATCTCCCTATCTGTAACTCTGCCTTTCAAATAAATAAATAAATTTTAAAAAAGTTGCTATTTCCAACACTGACCCAAATTTCTTCCCTTTCTAGTGTCAGGCCTCAAAATATTTATATTTGCATAGTTGATACAAAGATCAGCACATTTTAGAAATTAACTTAGTTCATCTTTCTGATGTTGAAAATAGATTTAAGTGCTTACTATGTTACAGGCAAAGTGCTAAATAGTTTGCATAAGTTATCTTACTAAACCTTCAGATGCACATTTACAGAAATATACACTGTGAATGAAGGTATTAAAAGGAAAAGCTTAGAATAAAGAGGCTTAATAAAAATAAAAGATCTGTGTAAGATCACTTTGATAGAAAATAGCAGAGTCAGAAATTGAATCAGGTCAGTTTAGAACCAGAGTCTGCCTAAATGCTGTACCAGTTGAGCCTTATTCCTACTTATTATCATAGTCCTAGGAATTCATTTAGGAATTAAAGTTCTTTGTTGAGGAAGTCAAATTGGCTTTCTGAATTTACAATTCAGAGAGAGTCTATAGTACATTACTTTCCTATTGACAGAGTCAGTAGTATTGAAGAAAAAGGAGGAACAAGAAAAGAACAACTGGAGGGAAGGTGATATTCCAAATTATTATAAGATTAATGTATTTGGCAGGATTCTTTTGTCTGCATGTGTTGAAGCTCAAGAATACTAAGAATACTCATGTAATTTGCCTAGTTCAGGCAATGTTGAATTCAGGTACTCAAATGATGTTGGGAGAAAGCTGACCATATTTCTTGACTCTGCTTTCCTCAGTGTTCCTTCTAGGGAGGTCTTTCACAACTAATGCTAAGAAATAGTCATGAATAACTTACCTAAATTCATATTCTAGAAGCTTAGAACTATGCCAAAATAGCTTACTCAGAGAAAGTGAGGATCAAGAGAGAGAAACACTAATAACAATTGGAAGAAATAATCTCCATCAAGAAGTTGCTTGTGCTTCTGCCAAAGAATGGTACTAGGTACCAAATATTTTATTTATTTATAATATACACTGTAAACATGGAGATTAAAGGGTATACAAACAGTTTATCGAAAAATTGAATTAAAGGGAATGCAATGTTTCCATGAAGTTTTTGAATCTCCCATATACTATATATAGATAATAGCATATACACACATACATATATAGTCTCATGTATATATTTGAAATATATATATTGACTTATTTCATTCTTTCCTGTCTTCTCTTTATAAATAAAAGTAGGGGTTAGAATCCCTCCATGTGGGTTTGGCATCTACCCTTTAGTTAGTAAGTACTACAGAACACGAGATTTTTTTTTCCTTTAGAAAGGCATAGTTCCTTTCAAACATAAATTGTCTTTCAAAAAACCATATTCTTATATAGAAAGCCAGAGAAACACTGAATTTTTGCCCTTCACAAGTCATAAATTTCTCATAAATATAAAATTCTCAGATTACATTAGTATAATTCTGAACGTCTACTTCCATCCATGCTTACGTTTCACAAAATGCAGTACTTTTCAGGGCCCGGTTTGTAATGTGTATGAGTTAATACACGTACCTATTTATGGTCATTAATAAAATATTTAGAGTTTCATTAGAGATACAAACTACTTTCTGTATCCTTAAAACAGACTCAGGTTTCATATTCAGTAAGTGCTCTAATAAACCATATATCTCTTAAGGTACATCAGTCTCCTATGTATCCCCATAGATGATGAACAGGTTTGATTTGTGTTAATAACAAATTTATTTTTTTCCTTGTAGTAATGAATTCTCACTGTGTTCCCAGTTGTTAGTTTTGGGGGCAATTCTAAACCAACATTTTACTCTAAGGATTTTCCTTTTGTTAATTTTTTAAAGACATTTCCTTCTAATTTGGGCACTTGTAGTTCCCAGCGCCTCTCTCCACATGGTCCACTACCTCTCCTTGCGTGGAAAAGTCTCTTCTAAAACTTTATTGGTGTTACTGGATGAAACAGAAAAACTACTCAAAAGAGATTTCCAGGTGTGGAGAATGAATTGCTGGCATAATTGTCAGGCCCCAGTACCTGTCAGCCTAGTGCTTCAGCAGCTGAACAGATTGCAAAGCTGATTCTGGGATTTGCATTTTTTTTCTCTCAGATACAAGTTAACAAAAAATAACTATACCTTAGTCCCAACACACATGAGGAAGAAATGAGACATTATGAGAAATATAATGAAATAAGAATGGGGAAAGTTTAGATTACAAAGAGAAGTCCTGGATGACTAAATTTCATGGATGTAATAAGTATTAAAGAATACTTTTTCTTCAAAGAAAGAAACTTACATCCCAAGATATACTATTGACTTGATTTTTTAAAAAAAATCACATCCTATAGTACCAGAAAGGACATTGCAGTAAACATGTTTTACCTTACTTTTCCAGAAATAGGTTTTTATTTTTAAAGCTCATCAAGAAAAAACTTTCCTAGTTATACAAGGTAATGCCCTGTCTTATAACAATAAAGTGAGCCAGAGTTCAAAGGCAAGAAAAGGCCCATATTACAAAACACCAGCGAAAATGCTACATGGTGATTACCACTTTAAAATTAACAAATAAACTCCTGACTTTTCTGCTTCTGAGCTGTGTCTTTAGCTACAAACTTATGCAATGGATTTTTTAAAAAGTAATCTGAGTAACAGAGAATGGATAAATACCTCTCCCCACCCTCTTAATGACTCCAGAAAGATACAAATGCCCATGAGCATGTGGCAAAGATGACAGCCAGACCTGCTATTTTCCAGGCTTAAGTACCTTTGTATGCTGGAATTGGCTATGGCTACTGAGATTCACTCTGTTCTTCCAGGATAGTGATAGTGTCTTTCCCAGCTCTGCATGGTGACAGTATATAATTAATTAATGGGCCAAAGCATTCAGCAGCATTCAAACTGTAACTAACCCTTTGTCATGCTATCTGAGAACAGTGGAGCACTTAAAACCATACCCAATTGCCAGAAGGTGTCCTGTCCATAGCTAAATGTCCCACCACCACTACCATTCCCACTGCAATCACAGGGAAAATCTTAGCAGGGCACACTTGTACCTAAGTAGCTGAAATTAAAAGGTCACACAAGTCTCTTACCCTCAAACTGCACTACTGGGGTCCTTTAAGTTAATTCAAGTTCTATTGCATTTTAAGTGGAGTTAACTTGACTTTAAATGACTTTTGAACAATTGCATCAGCAGAAAACAGTAGAATTTTTTTTGGATATGCACAAATATTTTTTCGTACAGATGTAATCTGTATAAAAGTCCTGAAGCACCTGGTTTTTTTATTTCTGATGGAAAGTGGATGACCAACTCACAGGCACACAAGCAGACATTGCACATCTGCATACAGAAACATGCTACTGGGATGCAGTCACCAAATCTCTTCCTGAAACAAAGAACATTTTCATCCATTTTAGAAAAAATAAAAAGCCCAAGAAGATACTTCGTGAGACACTGGAATCAATTATTTAATCGCAACATTTTGAGGTGCGCACATCCTTGGGAGCAAAAGCCCTGTTGTTGCCCTAATCTCGGATGGTGGCCCTAAAGCCCCTAGGCTGTGTGTGTGCTGATCAAGTTGTGTGAGAAAAGGCTATGAGTGGAAATTATTGGGCTCAGGCAGAGTAGGAGCTTGAAGGCCCCGGCTTGCTCTGATCTTTGACAGTGGAAGCCTCCTGCCTGCCCCTGCCTGCGCCCCCCTACCAGGAGAGAGAGGACAGACTGGCACAATCATCCACCCAGTTTCAGATGCTGACTGCAGAGCCCAGCAACACACAAAGCTTGCACTTCTCTTCCTTTCCCCGGCGCCTTAACTGGAGAGCAAAAGTCCCCAGTACACTTCTCTGGATCTCGTTAAATAATATTTGCACTTTTGTTGGAAAAGTGGCCCCTCGTGGGCAATTATTTCTCGTGTCTTTGAGTTTTACAATTTAATGTAAAACAGTAACCTTGTGTCTTCCTCTCCTCTGCCCCACCCCAGCCCAACTGAAGCCCCTTTCCCACCAACCCCAGCCCCTCCTCCCTGTCAGACTCTGAAGTGTCACTCACAGTTTTTTTTTTTTTTCTTTATGCTTCCAAGAGTTTCCAAAACAAACAGTGGAGGCTGCGACCGGCGGGTATTCACTCAGTCGGATGCAACAGTATCTCCCAATCCGAGCAGCCTGAGCGGCCATTGGCGGCAGGTCCGCTCCCTAAAAGGCCCCGCGCTTGCCAATCTCTGTTCTCTGCCAGGTCCTGGAATGCCTGAATCCGGGACTGATGGTCCGCACATGTCCACTGGGAGGGAGGAGACCGCAAAAGGCAGGGAGACTAGACTCCGGAGGACTTAGAGTCCAGTTTAATCTCTCTCTCCTTTCATTTTGTTTATTCAAAGAAAAACTACATGTATATATAAAAAAATCACACACACACACACACACGCGGAGAATTTTTTTTCTTTGAATATAGATCCAGAACTTGTTTTTCCGGATTTGGAGGTTTTTTCTGCTTTCCCTCGCTCGGCTATCCTTTGCGTTCTTGCTCTCTCCCCGCTCCCTCCTTAACCCAACTCAGGTTGAAACTTCGTGGCGCGCGTTCCCTTCACCCCCTTCAGGGATGGCTCTGAGCTCTCGCGCACACGCCTTCTCGGTGGAAGCTTTGGTGGGGAGAACCAGCAAAAGAAAACTGCAAGATCCAAGAGCGAAGGCGCAGTCTGAGTTACAGGAGAAAGAGGGCAGAGAGGAACAGGAGGAGAGAAGGAGCGGCGCTGCAAGGAAGAGCGAGCAACCCGGTGAGTAGCCCCATTCAACCCCGAAACCCTAAACCTGCCGTCCGTGCCGAGTTGGACCTGCATCTCTCCACCTGGCTCTGGGTGCTGCAGTAAGGCGGCAAGCCCTACTCACGGACGTTCTGGCCCAATCGGACAGCTGCGCTGGGGGCTGTGAGACATCTCTGGCACTTGGCAGAAACTTTCAGAGCTACCTGGGGCGCCTTTGCGGTGATTGGGAGGGTACTCGTTCCTGTGAAGAATTGCGGTTTACCGACCCCCTCAAAGCTCTGAGAGCCAGAGGGTGACTGTTCCTCCTGATAGAAAGCAGCACTCTTCCCCAGATCCTGAGGGGATCCTGTCTCGGATACGAACCGGCTCCAGGAGAGCGAAGACGGGCAAAACCAAAGGGTCTCGCCGTTCACAGGGCGCGACCTGGCCCCCCACCCCCAACGAGAGACCACAGAGGGGGTTGTGGGGAGCTGGGGGATTCCCCCGACCAGGGTTCCTGGGGAGGGAACTAGGTTTGCCTACTCCAAGAGAGGCACCATCTAGAAGGGAGTGCGCGTGACCTTCGAAGCTCTGTCAAACCCTGGGCATCTCTGTGTCTAACAGAAAAGCGACCCAAGACAGAACCCTCAACTACCCTCTCTGGCTGCGGCGGCGGCGGTGGCGACGGCAACAGCCGCGACAGTCTAGAGGAGAAAGATGTTATCCACGTGGAACTTCAAGGATCCGAGCTGTGGAAGCGATTCCATGACATTGGAACTGAGATGATCATTACCAAGGCTGGCAGGTTCGGTTCCGCTCAAGTTGTTCTTAAGGGTCACACATCATTCGCGCTTAATGTGAGGCTTTAGTAAGATGTGGAGTCACTGGTTTCAGGCTCTGATACCCCTCCCCCCTCCAATTCCCTGGCAGACACTAGAAAGCCACTGCCCCCTCCATTGATCAAGCTAGGTTGTACTTGGCCCCACTAAGTGGCTCAGTTTTCCTTTCTTGTACACCTTGACTCCAAGAACTGACTCCTCCAGCTCTGACTTGGGTTGCATATGACAAAACTCAGATCTTCCCAGGCAGGTGCCAGATGCCTTCCCCACATCTTAGGCTGTATTCAGATCTTTCAGTTACAGCCTCACAGATATCAGTGGACAGCATCTCCTCATCCAGGCTCCCAGCCCACTGCCCCTGTCCCTGTCCCAGGCCACTTAACGGTGGCCCTTTCCTAAGGCAACCTTATGGATGAAGCAGCCCCGTCAGAGCAGCAGGGGGATTTTTTTTTTTTTTTTTGGAATCTTCCTAATTTCAGCCTTTCCAAATCTGCCTCACAGAAAATACCTCTGAAAATTCGAAGGAGAGGCAGAGATTTTTCTCTCCCATTTTCTCTTCTGCAGCTTTTTATTATGATGGTGGAGGTGGAGGGAGGTGGACACAATCTATGACATATTTTTCTTCAGTCAGAAATCCTGGACTTTTTCAATCAAGCCTACGAAAATCTGTCCTTATGTAGCAAGAACCTGTCATGAAGTGGAAAGGGTATTGTGACTCCCTTCTCTGTTCACTGGAGTCAGCATTTATCTACCACCCCTTCCCCTTCCAAACATGTCCAAAAAGCTCCTGGGTTAGCCTTTATTTTCTTTGCCACAGACGGATGTTCCCCTCAGTTCGAGTCAAGGTGAAAGGACTGGACCCAGGAAAGCAGTACTACGTGGCCATCGATGTGGTACCGGTGGATTCCAAACGCTATAGGTAATTGGGCCCACAGGAGGACCTAGCGGGAGACAGGCAACCCCATCTTGAGCCTTGCAACGAGAGTATTTTGAAAACTCTAACAGGAGGGTTGGGGGTTTGTTGTCCCTGGGCTTTGGGAGTGGAATCTTCTCACTGAAATCAGGATTTAGAGTGAGAGAAGGGCAGATTTGTTAGTCACTCCCTGCCCCCACCCACCCATTCCTAGGCCTTGGGCGGCAATTGGTGTTTTAATGTACCCGGGAAGGGCGGGGGTCTCTGAAAACAAAGTGGGCTCTAGCGGCCAAAGGGAAGTCGGAGGAGGGGGGAGGGAGATGTTGGAGGCTCGAGGTGGGTTCCGACTTTGAGGATGCTCTGGTTCTGAATTGCCTGACTCTGGCAGCAGGCACCTGAAGCAATGCCTTGGTTATTAACCCTCGCTCGTCTAGTGGGTCTGTTAGAACGCTGGGCGGGTCTCTCCTCCTTTCTCTAGCCTTTCGTCTGAAGCGGTAGTGAGGCCTGAGGGTGTAAGCCTTTGATTTAGAGCAGAGTGAAACTACCCGAGTTATTCTAAAACCAAGAGGTCCGTCCTTCCAGACTTAGCAACCTAGAGGCTCCAGGGGGCTGCGCTCTGCCTTAAAACTCTGAGTTAGGGGAGTGTGCAGGAGCAAGCCACACTAGGACTGTGGATGTGGCACTCCGTGGTGAGTGCCTGGCCCTCCAAAGAGACAGCCTGTCTCACTGCCAGCGCTGGTTTTCACGGCAAAGGAGGAAGCGCAGCTCACCAGCCTGCTGGGGCCCTGGCTTGGAAACAAGCAGTGCTTTTCGCACTGCAGCTGCTTTGAGAATACCGCGCACAGCTGAGAGGTTCGGATTGGAAACTGAAAATCAGCCCTGGCGCAGCATGGGGCGGGATTCCCGAGGGTTTTCTGATGCGAAGACATTTTGACAAAAGGGCTTCAAAACGTCTGGTGACAGTAGGCTAGACGGACATCCTCCTCGCCGGTTTTCTTCCCCGACTCTTCTTTTCCGACGCTCGTGGAGTTTTCCTGCGTCTCTGCGCGGTAAAATGGGTCGGATCCATTCTCTTGCAGATTCTTTGAGGAAATACAAACCAGACTCGGAAATCCCATGAAATTTTACTCGCCCTGGCACTTCATTGTATTTTGATAACTTATGCTTATCTACAGTTTGTTTTCTGCCCTTGGATGCTCCTTGAAAATCAAGTTGGTTCTTCTGCTACTTGCCTTTCGGATCCGTGGGCTAATCTTGAGCCAAATTTTTAGAACCAAAACCCAACTACCTGCTTCTCTTACTCCTTGCTTTGGCCCACTGTGCCTAGCACCACACTCCATGCCTTTCAGGTACGTGTATCACAGCTCACAGTGGATGGTAGCTGGGAATACAGACCACTCGTGCATCACTCCCAGATTCTATGTCCACCCGGACTCGCCCTGCTCGGGAGAGACCTGGATGCGGCAGATCATCAGCTTCGACCGTGTGAAACTCACCAACAATGAGATGGACGACAAAGGCCATGTAAGTGAGCACGATCTATCGTTTTCCCTGAGGAGGGAGGTGCCAAGCTCCTTCCTGACAGCACCCTGGAGAAGTAGGTTTCTCCGAAATGCACATCTTGTACCCTATAGTGCCTGTCCAAGTAGTGGGTATGTGAGTAAAATAGCCACTTGAGGGCTCCTGAAACGTTTGACCTTTCAGAGTTGTGGAGGTTAGGGATGGTCAGCCTCAGGAGTTTTAGGATCCAAAGAAATCCTTTTAAGCCAAAATATCTGGTCAGGGAGAGTGTCAGGGAATGCATTCCCAGGGCTCTCAAACACCTTGGCTTCCTGGGGACACACTGGGGACTTTGATTTTCCTTCTAGTAGTTCACACTGCTATCATGTGCGCACCTTCAGTGTGGTGTGATGTGGTGCCAGTATGGAAGCATGGAATCCCAGAACACAGTCTAGAAATCTCCCCCACAACCCACCCCCATGGAAGGCCTTTTCAGGTCCAGTGATCTGGTCCTTCAACCTTCTTCCTGGGTGTGCTTCTTCCTCTGCCAGCCCCCAAAGGAGAGAGGGGGCTCTAGGGATTAGGAGATGGAGTTACCTATCATTTACTGCCCCGGAAATCTGCAGCAAGCAATGACATTAAGGTGACAGTTCTATGTCCCATGATCACCCACGGAGGGAAACACAAAAGGGTCCCAATCTGGAAATACAACCATTCCTGGAAGAAACAGCAGAAGTTCCTTGCTGGGGAAACGCTTCGCCTCTGTTGGGGGCCAAATAGCACAACAAAGGTCCTCTTGAGTGTCTTCCGGGGCCTCCCCAGTTTAGCTTCACATTTGTCTAGCACTGGGGATTGTCTGAGAGGGGGAAAGTGTTAGGAAGGGGAAGTTAGTTTTTCTGGCAGCATTTGATTATTTCTCCTCCAGATCATTCTGCAGTCCATGCATAAGTACAAACCCCGTGTGCACGTGATGGAGCAAGACAGCAGGGTTGACCTGTCCCGGATTCAGTCTCTGCCTGCTGAAGGGATCAAAACGTTCTCCTTTAAAGAAACGGAATTCACTACAGTGACAGCTTACCAGAACCAGCAGGTAAACCTGGCCAGGATTCAGGGCAGTGGGAATGGCCCCCAGAGGAACTTTGAGATGGAGGCAAGCTTCACTCTATGGACTACATTTTTGAAAATTTAAAAGATTCATAGCTCTCTTGCACTGCCATTAAGTCACGTTTGCTAATAAATTGTGTGGATCTGATGTTAGAAAGGAAAGCACAGCAAAGCGAGCAAAGAGAAAACAGTCTAATCATTCCAAATATGACTTATCAATATGATTACGTTTATTCAAGGTGCCGCATTACAGGTTGCAAAGTCTTTGGTGGTTACTGTAACAATTATAAGCAATAGTGACAGTCTTGTTACTAAGAACACTGTATCTTTCTCTCCCTTTTGAATCCATAGATTACCAAACTGAAAATAGACAGGAATCCTTTTGCTAAAGGATTTAGAGATCCTGGAAGAAACAGGTAAGCAACCTAACAATCACACCTGCTATTTATGTACACTTTTTCACAAGTATTAAAGATAAGGAAACTGACTCTAAGTTCTGCAATTAGTAGGTGTTAGGGTAAGAACCAGATGTTTTGTCTCTAAAATCTTACCTTTTCTCACACTCTCTCCTACCCACTTTTAAGGTACTGCTTATTCTAGAACTCTGGGTTTGACTGAATTTTTTTCAAAATTCTAGATATAAAAGAGAAATATTTCAGATTATCATTCATAGAAGATGTTAGAAAATCACTCAGAAGTTCATGTAAATCATTACTTTTGGGAATTGCATTCTGAAGTTGCTGAAAGTTGAATTTCTTTTTTAGGGGTGTATTGGATGGGCTTTTAGAAACCTACCCATGGAGGCCTTCTCTCACTCTGGATTTTAAAACCTTTGGTGCAGATACACAAAGTAAGATAACTTGTAAATTTTCTACATATTAAGGGCATAAAAACAGCCAGAAACCTGAACCAAATACTTCACAAGGGGATAAATACAACCCAGAAAATGTGTGTTTACAAACAAGCGGATGTATATGTACCTGGATAAGGAGATAAGATATAAAAAGGGCAAGAAGTTGTTATGAAGGAAGAGGGTAGAGCTGTGATAATGGGGACTTACTGACATCTGTCTCCTCAAGTTATCTTATACTCTGAAAATACTAGATAACATTCGGATCTCCGAGAACATCTCTCTGTCTCATACTCAAGATCTGCCTGTGGTGCATTTTTGGCCTCATTTGTAAATATGTTAGCTATTAAAATGAATATTTTGTATTTTATTAGAAACTTGAAGCATAAGTTACAGTGATTTCTATTAAATTACACTGTCCCTTAGGTATAATTTTTCTTTTTTTGACAGTGGGGAAGTAAATGCTGCAAATAATACTAAGATCACTATTAATTTCATTAACATAAGCTTTTCAAATATTTACAAGATATTTGTTCCCAGGACCTTATATGACTACATGATAATAATAATAAGTAGATAATTTGGTGCCTGTAATAGAAAAATAATAGAAGTAAATATCTTCCTTTACTATTATAACTAATAATAAATTGAAGAATTTTTATTTGCCAGCAATATGAATTTTTTTAGCCTTAATTCAAGGTATCATTATAGATCAAACCATCAACATTATAGTTGGGTTGAATTTTACATGATGCCATAAAAATCAATTGAAAGATGAAGAAATCAAATCTAAGCATTTAGTGAGACATTTCACTGTACTACTGTATTGATGTGGTTTAGGGAATTACATATGAAAATATGAACACATATTTTGCAAAATCAATTAACTAATAGCATCTAGACAGCATGCTTTTAAAATATTGAAGCCAAAAATATGCATTAACAAAGGAGAAATGTATAAGATGATCATTAATGTATAATTTAAAATAGTGTTTTAAAAGATGTCCAGTATGCTCTCAAATTTCAAACAAAAGGAATACCAACTTTTAAAGATTTGTTTATTTGTTTCAAAGTCAGAGTTAGAGGGAGAGAGAGAGAAGGAAAGAGAAAGAGAGAGAGAGAGAGAGAGAGAGAGAGAGGAAGCTCTTTCATCCACTGATTCAGTCCTCAGATGGCCACGATGGCCAGCACTGGGCCAGGCTGAAGCCAGGACCCAGGAGCTTCATCTGGGTCTGCCAAATGGGGTGAAAACACCTGAGCCATCTTCTGCTGCTTTTCCCAGGCCATTAACAGGGAGATGGCTCGAAAGTGGAGCAGCTGGAACATGAACTATTGCCTATATGAGATGCCAAGGTTGCAAATGGCAGCTTCACCCGCTATGCCACAACGCCGGCCCAGGAGTACCAATTTTTAAAATGTTTGAATGTTTTATTATAAAAGATACTACCAACCTGTTTATAGGAAATAATCTATGTTTACATAAACAAAATAAAAAAGAATAAAACAGCAACACCAAAAAAACTTCATTAAATCCAGTCAATAACCAATTGTTTTATTTAATTCAAACATTTACAAAAATAGTTAAGAATCTAGATTTTCCTAGAACTTATAATTACCCCTAGTTTTAGTAGGTTCTAGAAAACCATAAAAGAATTGTATCAGATATCACTGATACAAACTCTTCCATTCACTTCTTGATGTCTCTTAACTTGTAAAATTGTCTCAAACTCTTGATACAGTGTGACATGGAAGTCGCTCCATCCATAATTCTCATATAAGAAAAATTTAAGAATAATGTTTCTAAATGTGCTGTTTTCATTTATACAAGTTTATTTTCATGTACACTGACATTTTATTAAACTGGAACATTCTATAGAATCCAAAACAAGCAATCCATTTGTTCAATCTGTTTAACTACTTTTTTATTTTATAATATTTTAAAGTTTAAAAATATAAAGCTAGTTTGGATTTATAAGATGTAATTGACTCCTGATCTTATAATAATTGGGTTTCTTCTGTAATTCTTTGGTTAAATATGTTTCAAGTGCCTAGTACAGTCTTTGAGCATAGTGAAAGCTCAATACCTGATACATAATAGTCAGGCTAAAAGTAATCATGGTAGTAGCAGAGATGCTCTACTCAACTCTGATTAAAGAAATGAGCACGTCCTTTATCACACTAGCTAAAAGAGCTTTGAAATTGCATGGACAATTAATCTAAAAACGAAACGGGTGGTGATGGATATGATTACTGATCCTACTGGGATACTAAGTTCATTGTTCATTGACTGAACTGTCATTCACAGGTGGAAGCAGTGGCTCATCTCCAGTGACGTCTAGTGGAGGAGCTCCTTCTCCTTTGAACTCCTTACTTTCTCCACCTTGCTCTCCACCAACGTTTCACTTACCTACAAGCTCCCTTGGAATGCCCTGTCCGGAGACATACTTGCACAATATCAACTTGCCCCTTTGCTACAAAATTTGTCCAGCTGATTTTTGGCGACAGCAACCTTTTGTCTTACCTACTTCTGAAAGGCTAGCAAGCAGCAACAGTTCTCACCCTTTAGCCCCACTCATGATGGAAGTGCCCATGTTATCTTCTCTGGGGGTTGTTGGTTCAAAAAGTGGTTCCTCTGAAGACTTCAATGGGCAGTGTCTTCAAACATCTAATTCTGCCAGTCAAATGTTGTATGGATTACAGGCATCTGGAAACATTTTCCCACCCAACTCCATTGCCCGAGAAGCACTCAGTTGCTCTTTCCATCCTCCCTATGGCTTTTATAGGTATAACTTCTCTATGCCATCTAGACTGGTAAATGCTGCCAACCATCTCAAAGTGAATGACAACAGTCAAGTTTCCTTTAGAGAAAGCAAATGTAATCATGCTCATTGGCATTCAACAATTAACCATTGTCTTTAATGGAACAATCAATTTCTAATACAATTACATGTAAGCACATATTTTCTTTATTTGTAGCCAAAGAAAGATAAACTGCTATTGAGCTTAAAAAGCTTCATAACCAGACAGCATTGCTCTGTTAAGTTTTTTAAGTGCCTTATCTAATGTTCACAAGAAGTTGGGTATACACTCAAATGTGACTTGCAGAATCGCTGATTACAGTGGCCTTGGGCTCCAAAATAAGAAACTTGGTAAATATTATTTGATGAGAGAGTCCTCCAGTGAAACTGATGTCGAGTGATGGGCTCTCCAATTATGGTGAGGCCAGTTTACCATACCAACTTTTTTTTTTAGCGTATTGACAATAACCAAGAGACGTATGTCATTCCTATGAAAGCGGTGAAACAATTTCAGTCTCATTAATGAAGATTGGCTTCACTGTGATTATCTATCAGAGTTATTGTAGAAGAAAATTTAATTGCCTTATACATTTATACTTTGCTATTGAAGGAAATACTAATTTCAAGGTACAAATAAGGAAATAAACTTTCTAGAATTATTTTTATTAATCCTTGTAGCCTAAGAACTATTTAATCCTGAAGGAGCACAAAGATCAAAAGAAAAGTAAACTATTCTAAATAAATGTGATCTTTTATTTCCTTTTTCGATGATCATTCCTAGATGAAGCTTATTTACTTCTTTAACAAACTTGATATTTAAAAACAAATTTAAAAAAAAAATGATTATAGTTCTCCAAAAAGATTAAGAAACTATGGCTTGAAGGAGGAAACTACATTTGAGGCTATAATTATGAAGATAGAATTACATGAGTATAATTTAATTCCACTCTTGTGTATCAATAGCATTAAATTAGACAAGATGAAAGTAGAATAAGTAACACAAAATTCAAAAGTTTTCTTTCATGAGATCCTAAAATTCTGAACAGAATTATGAACTACAATCTATATATAAAATCTGTATGTCTTTTACATAAATCAGATTGTAATTTTTTATGCCAGTAACTCTAGCCATTTTATTAATTCAAGGGCCTTAATATCACAATGACATGACTTGACTTTTGACAATTTACCCAAACTGCTAAACTGAGTTTTCAAGATTTTCCTAAATAAATTAGGAAGAACATATAAGTATTATTTATTATGTTCAAATGGTTATTTAATCCAAAATATGCCTTATAAATGTGCCCTGCTATGTATTCATAAAAATTATATGTTCTTCACTCTTGGAAATATGGATATAATAGCACACAGTTTTCAAAATAAGTATTCTAGTTAAGAAGAAGTATTTGTGGCCTATACATAGTAGGGATCTGTTACAAAGGTCTTCAAGGCATAAAATCTGTCTTAATCTAAATTTTTGTTAAAACAGGATTAAAAGCAACAAGCACACTTTATCTTTGTCTACTCCAAAACAGGAAATCTGTAGGCTAACTTCAATCAGTGTAATAATTAGGAAGTTTTTTTTAGCAGAAACTCCCATGTCAGATTATACTGAAACTTACTCCAAGGGCTTAAAAGGAAGAACCTCAGTAATTGATGAGAAAGTATCTAATTGAACAAGTAAGAAAATCTGTTTTTTAAAAGAATTATTTAAGAGAGGCATTAATTTTATAGATAGTACAGAGTACAAATAGCCCATACTTTATGTATCAGATAGATTTGCTGTGTATTTCCCACTTAAAACTGATAATATGGAATTACATTGATAATGGCGATTAATATAAAAAATCAAAGTCTGAATGCTAGAAGTTAGGTATGTATATATCTTAAACTATTTTGTATCATTTTTATAAACTATCATTTCACACATTTAATTGAAAAAGTACCCAATGAAAAGCCTTCACATAAAATTAGGCTTGGAAGAAATTTCAAGAGGTGTAGCAAATAATCCCTGCTTCTGAGAAAGTTATAAATCTGTAGGAATCTGTAAATAACTAATTAATACACATAGTTATATAGTGCCCTTATTTTTTCTGTTTGAAGAAATTCCTACTCCTTAACTCTGCAAAACCCGAGTAACTTGGTAAATTGACTCTCTGGTGGCAGAATAAAAACAAAATGTGATAGAATACTATCACTTTGAACTGAATGAACTAAACATTAGGTTTGATTTAAAAGCCTACAAAAATCAAAAGGTACGTAGACAAGATGTGAAATAGTTAACAAGTGAAAGTGGCCAAATTATACTTAATAGGCCTCTAAATCTACTAATTAAAACCTCTATTTCCATATAGTTTGACCACACATATATGAGTACCCCCTCCCTCTTGAAAGAAAATGTCTTTATTCAGGTAACTGAATTGATAAAGTCTGATTCTTAATCTGACTTGCCCATATGACTTAACCCAAAAGAAATCTAAGGAAAAAGCAAACTTTGCCTCAATTCTGTAAAATTTCTAAAATAAGTCAGAAAACACGTTACCTTATGTTTGCACAATGCTCAATCAAGCTCAGACTTGCAGTCAGATTCCTTGGTCAGGAAGGTAATATTTTGTGAAGCTAAAATTAAGAACTGAAAATTTGAACCTCGTTGTAAAACTCGTGTCTAAGTGGATAGATAGATCTATTAATTACATTTTAAAAAGAGATATATAACTACTGGTAACACAATTTAGGGCATCAAACTCTTTGATACTATTATTTCTTTTCACTATACAAAATAGCTAAGCCATCTGGAGATTACATTTTAAAGTGTGATATAGAACTTCAGGTTTTACATAGTTTTAGAGCCTTCAAACTCATGAATATCACTGTTCCTATTCACTGCACTATGAAAATGAAGAGGTTTACTTTCCCTAAGCTATGAAAATAAAAGTTAAGGATATTTCACTGCTATTAGGCATGATTTCCCCATATGTCTTGGAATGGACATGACTTCATTCTTTTGTGAGGATGAAGCATGTCTGTGGCATGAAAATAAACGAAGAATTAGAATCTGCAAGTGATGAGTCAGTGAATCAGTCTGAACCATCATAGTCCTATGATGCGCTGACAACCTGACAAAGTGCCAACAAAAATAAAGACAAGCATCTGTATCAGACATTGTGGAAGATTTCCTTTTCATTCTCCTAATCATTTATGTTATATACCTTGGAGAAAATCACACTACACATAAAGCAGGTAATATGTACCTTATATGTATTCCTTGTATAATGCTGAGCCAGAACATGACAGAAGTAAATGTTTTTATAAATATTAAAATAACATTTATAAAATTCTACATGCATGCCAATGACAAATTTAGATGCTTTGAGACAGTAGTCATAGTGCGTGTATTCCTTGCTGAATCTCACTAGAAGTCTTTTCCCTATCTGAATGTGCGGTTTGATAAATTGTATATGTCACACTATAATATTAATATACACTGGTACCTCCAAAAGCTCATGGAAAAATTGAATTAAAAGATAGTCTGTTGTGGTGCAAAAAATGGGATTCATGCATAGTTACTTCATAAGACACGCTTTCCATGAACGTTTTGAAGACCTCTCATGTATATGGGAACATATAACACCAGTTGGGTATTAGTTTAATTTTATTCTTAAATAATTTACACTGTGTTGCCTTTCCTCTCTTTGCTTCCTAAAAATAGATGCTACAAACAATGCCTACTCCTTGCATACATATACTATAAATTACATATACTAATGTGGAAAGGTAAATGTGAATATATTTAGGAATGTCTAGTTGCATGTATTGTGGTATGTGAATTGAATTAACTGGTTAGAAGTACAATGTTTTTACACCAATTTAGAGATATGTTGCCATTGTGCTGAAAAATTTTCAATTAGCCAAAATAACAATAATACTCTGGTATACAGCAACAGTTTACCAGTTGATTTCACTGGAATTTAGCATGTTTTTTGGAGCAGTTTCAAACAAACCAAATGCATAGCTTAGGCATTAGTGGCAACTGCTTTGATATAAGTGCCTTGGTATACATATAATCTTCTTAGGTTTGGACTGCAATTAAATGATAATTTGTATTAAAGCTGTACAAATAAACATGGTTTGGATGGCAACATAAAACAGAACAAATAGATACATAGAACATTTGAAACATATCCAATATTAAAACTATTTACATGTGTGGTGCTGGCCAACTTTTGACATGCTGTTTCAATAAAATATTGAGAGGAAAGACTAGTATCATTTCCTTTCAAAGTTTCAAATGTTCATGTTTACAAATTTGTACTGCACATTAATATGTAAACATACATTATGGTAAGCAGATGTACAGAGAATAGTTACAGGATATTTCTATTTAGTTGAAATGCCTATTGGTTTTATTTTTGAAGTACCTAAAAGAGATATACCATTTAATGCTAAATATAATAGAAAACCTTGAAATAACAGTACAGTAAGTTGTATCACTAAAGTTCTTAAACAAATTATCTTATTTGTTATTGTTAAATATGGCAGAATCTTTTTTTGGATTTGTAATAAAGTACAAATGACATTTCAGTTGTAGAAATTTTATAAAGAATTCAGAATATTACTAGAACAAAAAAGGAATAAAATCATGAGTTTATATTGAAAACTGTTTAATATCTTTAAAGGGCTTTTCATTAAGTATATATTTAGTGCATCTTTTATTTTTATGGTAATTGTTTTAAAAATACTGATGCTTTAATAATTTACATTTCTTTAAATTTTGCCTAAAATTGAATTTTCATATAGCTTCTGTGACACAAAGATTTTGTGACCTTCTTACTAATTATACTAATATCTAATCATATTGATCTTCTGCTTTATTGAATCTTGAAAATTTTAGAAAAATTGCTTTCATAGTAACACAAACAAAATAGATTACTCCTTGGTACTGGCATGGTTTCTCCCTAAGACACAAATTGAAGTAGAAAAGTTACACAATGCTTTACCTACATAGACTTTGTATTGGTTCTTTAACAGAAACCCATACGTAGGTCAAATAGTATTTGGTAGATTAATAGCTTTGTTTTGCAAAACCAAGTTTGGATCCTCTTCAAATCGTGACGCTAGGCAGGAGAAATAACTGTTTGACAAAAATGTCATCACTTTATAACCTGTCATCATGACTCTTTTTCTGTAGTTGTAACCTTAGTGAAGCAGAGGTGGAGATGAGGTGTCACATTACAAAAGGATCTGTGGGCCACAGCACCACACATATGGGATTAGGATAAACTAATCCAGTGTTTTCACTCAAGTGCTCTAGCCAAATTCAGCACTTCTCTGAATGTGATGAATCAGGGCAGTTGCCCTGAGCCTTTGGCTAGTCAAGATACATCTTGGAGTGGATAGTTGGGGTGAGTGCTCAAGTTAATACTAACAAAAACCTGAAACTTTTTACACATAAATTATTTTATATTTTAATTTAGTTGTCCATTGGGAATGTATCTCCTACTAGACTATGGGAGTGGAAGAAAGGGTAATTTCAAAAATAATATATTTATCTTCCAACTTCTACAAATTTATATGCATTTTACCGAAAACTGAAATACATAAGAAGCAAACAACACAAAAAAGATACTTAGCCATATACAGTTTAGTCATTGTGTATGTCTACATACAATTGAGCATACACTTTATGTGACTGAGGTCACACAGTACAAATAACATTTTATCATATGTCACAAATATTATGAATTCAAGGTTCAGGCTGAGCTGGGAGATGGAAACTAAACTCAGGATTCCCACACGAGTGACAGAAACCCAAGTACTTAAGCCATCACTTCCTGCTTTAGCAGGAAGCTGGAGTGGAGCTGTATCTCCAACACAGGTACTGCAATACAGGATGCACGCATCTTCACTGCTAGGCTAAATGCTGGTCCCTCACGCACTAAACCAAGCTAACAGGATAGACATGTAATCTTATCCTTTCACAAGGACATGTTATTTTAAAAGACAAAAATTGCAACAGGCCTCTGGATAAAGATGTTGAGAGAGTTACAGTTAAAATACTGCATTCCTTTAATGCTCAATTAAAAATGAGACATGAAGCAATAGCGTGCAATAAACATAATGTGGCTTCTAAGAAAATTTGTTATGGGAAAAGTACTATTAAAATATTAGTGAGAAGATAAGTTTTCAATGAATAGCATTCCGTGGTATGGATGTACTGTAGTTTATTAATCCATGGATGAACATATAAGTAATTTCCAGGTGAAACCCACAATTCATTTTGTGTTAAGTTTTATATGTTATGTTTTCTGTAAGGTGTGAGTATTAAATTGAGGCTTTTCCTTATTTTTTAATTTGCATCTTATGGATATTCAATTATGTCAGCATAATTCATTGAATTCCCTACTCCCCTGATCCACTGAATGTTGAACATTACATTGCTTCTGTGCCTTTGTAAAAAAATCAGTGGAGCATATTTGCATGGGTTTATTTCTGGGCTCTCTATATTGTTTCATTGATACATGTTTCCAGCTCTCTGCCAAATACCATGTTGCCTTAATTATAATAGCTACATAATAATTCATAACATCAGGTAGCATAATTTTTCCCACTTAATTATTTTGCAAAAGTATTTTGACTATGCTGATTCTTGCTTTCCTTCTGCATATTTTTATAATAAATTTCATTAAATCTGTGAGCAACCTTGATGAGATTTTGATAGGAATTCCTTTAAATCTATGGATAATTTTGGAAAGAATTGACAACTTTAACATGTTGAGTTTTCCAACCCACACATATGATGTATCAATCCATTTGGATAGGTCTTTCTTTAGTTTTTTCATCATCATTTGGCAATTTTCAATGTACATCTTGTATATGTCATTTTAGGTTTACACTTAAAATACTTCATTTCTTTGGAGCCTTTGTAAGTTATTTTTAACTTTGATTTCTGGATGTTCATTTATAGTACACATAAATGTGATTGCTTTTTCTGTGTGGATTTTATATGCTGCAAACATCATGACTTGAATTACTAATATTTTGAGTTTTGAGAGTATTTTTGTATGTTCTTTGAGATTTTTTAGGTAGACCATGTCATTTGCAAGTAGGGACCATTTCACTTTTTTTTTGTGCCTTTTATTTCCTTTATTTGACTTATACATTGGCTAGGACTTCCAGGAATAATGGGAATAAGAATGGTGAGAGTGAACACGTTAATCTTGCTCCTGGTTTTTACCAGTGAATATGTAGCATTTTTGTAAATGCTCTTTATCAAGTTTAAGAAGTTCCCCTCTATTCCTATTTTTCTCAAAGTTCTTTTTAGACTTTTTGACACTTAATAATTGCAGATACAAAGGGAATAATGTAATCCTTAGATAATGCGTCCATTGTGCAATGGTCAATCAAGGTAATTAGCATATCTAACACACTGAACATTTATTATTTCTGTGTTGTAAGAACATTCAAAATCCTCTGTCCTAGCTGTCTGATATTTACTAAGAATTATTTTTAGCTAGGTATAGTCACTCTACTGTGCAATAGAATACCAGAATCTCTTTGCAAACCTTCCTCTCTGTTATTTTCCCAAGCTTCTGATAATCACGATTCTACTATTGACTTTCATGAAATCAAATTTTCTGTATTCTACACACACATGGGAATATGCGGTATTTTTCTTTCTGTGCCTGGCTTATTTCACTTAACATAATGTTCTCAAGACTCATGACATTGATGTAAATGTAGGATTTCACCATTTTTTTGTGAATGAACAGTATTCCATTGTGTATATATACAACATTTTCTTTACCCACTCATGCATTAATTCATGGGAATTTAGTTACATTGATTACATAGCTTGACTTTTGTGAACATTTCTGCAGTAAAACAGAGAGAGAGAGAGAGAGAGAGAGAGAGAGAGAGAGAGATCTTATCCACTGATTCACTCCCCAAAATGCCCACAATGGCCAGGGCTGGATTGGCGTGAAGGCAGGAGTTGAGAACACAATCCAGATATCCCACCTGGGTGGTATGAACCCAATTATTTGACCCATCATCACTTTCTCCTGTGATCTGTATTGGCAAGAATCTGGAGTCAGGAGCCAGAGCCAGGAATTGAACCAAGGTACTCCAAAGTGGAATGTGGGATTCATGACCTCTAAGCCAAATGCTCACTACCAGTGATCTCTATAAATTTATTTATTTATTTATTTATTTATTTATTTTGAAAGCGAGATCACATGCCTATTAGTTCATTCTTCAAGTGCTTAACAGCCAAGGGTAGGCCAGGTGAAACCAAGAGCCAAGACTAGGGTCTCTCATGTTGGTGGCAGAGACCCAGCCACTTGAATTCTCATCCACTGTCTCCCAGAATGCACATCAAAAAGAAGCTGATATTGGAAGTGGAGTCAGGATTCAAACCCCAGCACTCCAATATTGGCTGCAGGGATCCCAAGAGGCTTTTAACCATGATACCATATGCCCATACTTCTATGATATTTTTTTCCTATGATCTTTTTAATGTAGTATTGAATTCAATTTGCTACTGCAAACAAGGGAAATTCAACAAATTCACAGAAATACAATTAAAAGGTTTATTTTCAGTCAAAAATTAAAATTCATGCATAGTCTTTTTTATAAAGATTTATTTATTTACTTGAAAGAATTACACAGAGAGAGGAGAGCCAGAGAGAAAGAGAGAGAGAGAGAGAGAGAGAGGTCTTCCATCCACTGGTTCACTCCTGAATTGGCCACAACAGCTGGAGCTGCACTAATCCAAAGCCAGGAGCCAGGAGCTACCTCCGGGTCCCCCATGTGGGCGCAGGGTCCCAAGGACTTGGGCCATTTTCTACTGATTTCCCAGGCCATAGCAGAGAGCTGGATCAGAAGTGGAGCAGCCAGGACTCGAACCAGTGCCAATATGGGATGCTGGCACTGCAGGTGACAGCCTTACCCGGTATGCCACAGTGCCGGCCCCATAGTTTTTAAAAATAATATACATTTTCCATAAACTTTTTGAAGACCCTTGAATTTTTTTGAAGAGTTGCATTGATGTTCATCAGGGATATTCACTTGTAGTCAATATGTTCATATGTTGTGTTTTCATTTTCATTAGTTGTTTCCTTTTTTAGTTTTTGTGATGACCCATTTGTTACAAAGGAGCATGTTATTAAATTTCTTTGTATTTATAGATTTTTCATGTTCTTCTTATTGTTGATTTCTATCTTTAGTTCACTGTTGTTTGAGAAGATACATGATGATCTTGATTTGTGTTTTAATTTACTGAGACTTGATTTGTGGCCTAACATATGGTCTATTCCGGAGAATGTTTCATATGTTGTTGGGAAGAATGTGTATTTTGCAGCTGTTGGATGAATTGTTCTATAAATGACTGTTAGGTCCATTTGTTCTACAGTATGGCGTAATGTGGGTATTTCTTTGATGAACTGGGGATTATACTTTTGTAAAGCTCTAAATCTGTTTTTCCCAGCCAGTGTCCGGTAGGCTTCTAATTGATACAATTACAATAATTGAGACCTGGTTTAAAAATAGTTTCTTGGTTTTTTTTTTTTATTATTTGAAAGAGAGAGGGAATGAGGAAGGGAGAGAGACAGAGAGATCATTC